CCCCAAAACCCCAAAACCCCAAAACCCCTTTTACGGTGAATCTAATTGAAAATGCATTAACTTAGTTTCACTTAGCCTTATGGATATCAAGCTCATTCTGGTTTACAACCTTTTCTCACTTCTCACACTGCTCAAAATCCTGTTTTTCTTCTCATTCATTGAGTAAGTGTTTATCAAGAGTGGTCTTTTCAATAATTTGCTCACATCCTGGTCAGGAAGTGAGCTTTGGACATTCTTCAAGATAATGAAGGTCCTTATTATCTTCTTCAGCAAACTTTTCGTTAAATTTCCCTCAAAACTCTCAGACCATTTTTCGATCAGTATTGCCATTCTTGGTCGAAGATTTCCTTCTGTTATTGAAAGCTTTGCTAGCTGGCTCTGCATCTATTCTCTTATTTTTCTTCAAGCATTTGCTCTTTCTTACGCTCTTTATCTTCATATTTTTCCTGAAGCACTTGCTTGGCCTCTGGAATAATAGTCTTAATCTGCTCCAACTGCGAAATCAAAAGGTCTGAGATAACAGGCTGCACTGTACTATATCCATAGGCATTGTAAACATTCTGGAGACACTTGATATAATCTGATTTCAGATCAGTATGGTCCACAAAATGAGGAAGCCTCTTTCACACCTCTTGAAGATATTCCTCAGAGATATTCTTGGATTGCTCAGCTAAACTTTGGAACAATTCCACTCTTTTCTTCAAATTCTTTATGTTCTTCTTTGTCTAAATTGTTTAGAATATCTGGGTATTCATGATAAAAATAATGGAATATTAAAGAGGTTTAATCCCTCCTTAGAATTAAATGAAAAAAATAGTTTACCTTTATACTTCTTCCTGCTACCGATAGATTACTTTTGGCTCTCAAATCAAAATCTGAAATTAAATCAGCCAAAAATTCGATAATATGCTGTTTATCTTCATTAGGTTGCCCATCAAGTTGATCTCTAAGATTTTTCACTGCTGATTCGATTCCTTCCTGTTGAAAGTACCATTTATCAGCACAAACCTTCTTTGCGAGATCTTCTCCAAACACAGTTGTAAGTTTCTCGACATGTGAGACATGTCTTGGGTCAACTTTCAAGGTAAGCTTTGAGGCATTGATTTGGTTAGGTTTTTGGTGTTCAAACTCCTCTTCATTTACCTTGCTATAATCGATTGGTGTCTGCCTTCCAAGAGCAGGTAATGCTCTCTCTTCAATTCCAATCTTTCTTTTTGGTGCAAAGATATCATTATCTTTAACGAAATCAATTTTCTTCATAGATTTAATAGATATTGGATTAAGAGGTTTACTCATAGAATTTGCTGTACCATAGGAGTCACTAACATCCGTTACATCCTGAGGGAAATTTTCTTTTCTTGAAGGTTTGCTCCGGTACTCGATTGGAGACAAGGTTGCTCCTCTGCCTCTATTCAAAGTCTTCATGCCATTCCTATTGCCCGTCTTATCGGTAGTGGTCATAATATTTTTCTGGATTTTGCTCATTTCGTTCTTGATCATTTGGGCTGTCTCATAATCCTCCTTACTTATAGCTTGGACTTTCTGAGCAGCAAGAACATCAAGTTTCTTATTTAGCTTTTCCAATAGTTTTCATTACGGTTCTGACTCTCTTCAGTCGGTCGAAATCATCATTAAAAAGAGCTTTTTCTTCTTCCTTTTTAAGAGAAATTAACTTATCATCAAAATATAGACCAATAAAGCTGTTATCACGGCTTTCCATTGGCTTTATCTTTATATTTTCAGAAAGCACTGATCCCCTGTTATTCAGTGTATTTTCGTTATAAAATTTAGCAATGTTGTTAGAAGATCCGTTAACAGCAAAGCTTTTGTTAGGACTCATGTCCTTGTATTCATTCACTGTTAGTGCAAGGCTTTTCCTCTTGGAAGGCCTCAAAATAGTGCCATAGCATTTTACAGACTGGATCGAAACTTGATTGAAAATATTGTATTTATTTACATGACATTGACTTAACACAAATTTTAAGTACTGTCATTCAGTGTCAAGATAAACAGACTTACTCTCTCTTGCCTGAAAATTAGACTTTGAGTTATTATCTAGAGTAAACTTCCCAAGTCGTTTGTATTTATTTGCAGATATAGCATTTTCAAAACTTGGATGGTATGAATACAAGTCTACCTGAGAAGAGATCTTATTTTGATGGCTCAAAAGCACTAATTTTGATAATTTCACTGGAGAGTTAAAGTATATTATCAGTTCCTGTGGAAACTCTCAAAATCGTTGGCTATGCCATCCTGGATTTCCATCATAATCACTGTTGAGGGATAAATTCTCAGCTTTCCCCTCATCTTCCTGGGAAGTATATGAAAAGACTCTGAACTGGAGCTCAACCTCTTGAGAAGGCAATGAAAGAGTTTTATGCTGAGTCTTTGGAATTTTAACTGGAGCAAGACTCTTTATCTTCTGGCTATTAGTCGATGGTCTTTCCTGTGTCTGGGTTGTATCAAGACTGTTGTTATTCATAAAGCGTTGACTCTGGTTTGAATATCAATAAATTTATAATTCAATAACTTTAACTTTACTTGGGGTTTTGGGGTTTTGGGGTTTTGGGGTTTTGGGG